CATTTAACGATGGAGGATATAGAAACTAAATAAATGTAGCACTTTGGGTGTTAAGGACGTGTTAGTGCACCTACAGTTATTAGCTCAGGTCGTAGAACTTTTATTAGCAATCAAGTGTTTTCCATTTTGGAGGAAGGAATATTAATTTATTGTAGGTTTGTGAACGCACCGTCCAAACTAAGTATAGAGTAAGTTAACAAAACTACTCCGCTCTCCATGTGCTGAATGTTAGGAGCCGGGCCCAGTTATTGATCTCATGTTGGGGGTTGTCACCAGCTGTCAAAAACAGATGTTTGCTCTGACATGTGTGACTGCTGTGCGGACTGGTCCTTTAGTTTAAATCAGTACGACTGAAACAGCTGCCAAATGAGGCTAAAACACTTTGGGTTGCCAGATACTGCCTAAATGTTTATTTTTATATTAACGCACCTGAATTAATTTGTATATTTTAGCATTATAGTGAGATTATTTTGTCATTAATCTACCCTGCCTACAGAACCATTTCTAGCATTAAAACCTTGAAGTGTACTTCAGTCCAGTAGCTTCCTGTTTCCACACTTTCACTCATTACAACATGCTAACGGTCGAGCTTTCACAGATTGGGACATACATTACATACAACAGAATCACTGCATGTGTCTTCAGGGCAGCTTTTGAATTAGTTGTAGGAAGTTAAGGGAAATTAGACTTGATTAAAAAGGTACTGTTAAATGCTGTTACACGTCAGAGAATATTGCTGTATGTTATGAAAATGCTGGTTATGTATCTTTTTATTTTCATGGTGATTACACAGTTAAATGCCTCACTGCTGAAAACATTTAATCTGAACACATGCACCTCTATGCAGTTACCACATGAAGAGCACAACTTAGTTTATGAATGTTTAAAGAATAAAAATGAATAAAGTTTTTCACTAAAATAAAACTGCTTTTTGTTTTATGTCTTTACCCAGGTCATGGTGATCTTATTTGAACTGTTTTTATTTGGAGTTTCCATAACAAAAGTCAGGTCATGGTGATCTTAAGTGCTATATCGTAGGCAACTGGACTTGCTTGAGTTTCTCGAAGATGCCTCTCATCCAAGAGGCTTCGTGAGTCTTGGGACCCCTCCCCAGAAGACTTAACACCCATTCTCACCTGGGCCCATCTAACCCTAACAACACACATGATGGCCGGTTGGGTGAACGCCTCACAGGTGACCTCAGCGACTCTGTAAGTGTTCACACCCACACTGAGTTTAAAGCCTCTGCAATGGCAGTCAGTTATAACTGAAGAAGCCTGTTGGATGAGAGGTGAAACGTCTTCAAGAAACTCAAGCAAATCCAGTTTATGATATAGCACTTATGACAATCCCTTGATGCATATATTTGAGACCAGGAGAGACGTGTGAGGGTTCCCAAAGTGGGAGCTAAAGTGTTAAGGTTAGATGGATAGAAAAATAAGATGGAGCATAGGGAAGGCAAAGCTTGGGAGAGACATCTTGATGAGAGAAGAAACTAGTCTGGAGAAAAACGTACCGAACTTGAATCGAGGTGGAGTTTAACTGTTCAAATATTATAACACATACTTGGTGTTGTTAGTGATAGTTGGAGCCATGCTGGGGAAGGGGGTGGGGTTCACTGGGGGCTTCAGGTGGGTACCCTGATGTAATATGTAATATATATCACAGTAATGTGCTCTCAAAATTTAATGGGAATTCTTCAAATCAAATCAAACTTTATTTATATAGCGATTTTCATACATTAAAAATGCAACACAGAGTGCTTCTTGATTCTTGATGAGATTTACCAGAGTACCAAAGAAATACAGTGAAATGTTTGAATTCCAATAATACTTAGAAATAGTACTATTTATTGCATCTGTCATAACACAACACTGCCAGTGGTGGAATATATTGATATATATTTACTCACTTAAGCACAATTTTTGGGTACTTGCACAAGAATTTCCATTTTATTCTACTTTTTACTTCGACTTCACTACATGTCATTCCCATTTTCCACCTACATACAAAACCGGCACAGGTTTCCGCACCTTAGTTTGAAACATTCAGAGCATTTCGACCAAAAGTAAGTTGGTTCAGAAAAGGGGTGGGGAAAAAATCAATACAGCGTAGTATAGCAATATTTTTGTGTGGCAATATCTTACCTATACACTGTGCCACTTGTCCATTTTTTTATTATAGAAATTATTTATTTTACACATACAGATTAAACTTTTGACAGCCTTCTAGAATAATAGAATAAATTACTTTTTCAGTTCAATAGAAACATTTTCCTGCAAGAAAAATTATCAAAGTGAGATGGACAGATTAAAAACTTTGTACGTTATTAGATGAAACATTTGTTGATGAAGTTTTCCTTTTAGGACGATTTACAGTTGAAAAAAATGTAATGAATCGCAAAATATCACAATATTTTTGATATCGTAATAATACTGTATCGTGACTCAAGTATTGTGATAATATAATAGTCTGTGTTCAGGTGCATAAGTCAGTCTGAACAGGTGGGTTCTGAGATGGGATTCAAAGGATGTTATGCTGTCAGACTGTCGAATGTGTGGAGGTAGGGAGTTCCAGAGTCTGGGGGCGGTGCAGCTTAAAGCCCTGGCACCCATGGTGCTGAGGCGTGAGGTGGGGATGATATCTGTAATTCAGTTTTGACTAGTAAGATTCAAACTATTTTTGCCATTCATGTGTATGGGGTTTGTCATTATAGATATCTCCAATGTAGTTGCAGATATCTGCAATTCTTATTGCGGATATCTGCAAGTGAATTGTGGATATCTTTAATTCCAGTTTGAGATATCTACAATTTAATTTTGACTAGTCATAATTCAAGTTCAAGATATCTTTAATTAGCATCAATTGAAGATATCTACATGGTCCTTTCTAGATATCTTGAATTGAGTTTCAGATAGTCAGAATGACGTTGTAGATATCTGTAACTGAATTATGACTAGTCAAAATGACGTAGATATCTCAAACTGGAATTATAGATAGTCATAATGTAATTGTAGATATCTATAATGACAAACCCCATACACATGAATGGCAAAAATAGTTTGAATCTTACTAGTCAAAACTGAATTACAGATATCTGTAACTGTAGTTTTGACTAGTCAGAATGACGTTATAGATATCTGTCATTCAGTTTTGACTAGTCAGAATGATGTTACAGATATCTTAAATTAAAATTCATACTAGTCACAATGACATTACTACTAGTCAAAATGACGTTATAGATATCTATAATGGTAATTCCGGATAGTCGGACTTAGTGATTAAATGTTAAAACGGCTTGTCATAGTGCTCCTGGGGAAGGTCAGAGAGATAAGTGGGAGCTAGGCTGTGGAGGGCTTTGAAGGTGAGCAGAAGGTTTTTGTAGTCAATTCAGTACTGACAAGGAAGCCAGTGTAGCTGGATAAAAATGGGGGTGATGTGATCGGATGATTTGGTGTGGGTTGATCCGGGCAGCAGAGTTTTGGGCCTTAACAGTCATTGAATAGCCAATAGCCATATAAATTTGATTTTATAAGGTCTTAATTGCCACAAACATTTTACGTAATTTCATTTATCCATCTTTTAATTTCATTTTGTCAAAATAAGTCACGCTCTTCTGCACCAAAGTGTCTGATGCACCAAATCTCTAAACCTTTGAACCTAATAGTCTTTTTAACTCACTCTAATGATTATATACCCACATAAAACCTACCCCTGAACAAGAAAAAGATGATTTGTCCAAAAATCTGGTTTTAAATAATCTTAAGAAGGTCTTAAAATAGATTAAATTTAAGTGTAAGATACCTGTAGACACCCTGTTTTTACTCCACTACATTTCTTTGGCATTAGTTACTTTGCAGATTTAAATTACTAATACAAAATATAATCAACTTACAAATTATTATGTATTATTATTGTTGCGTTAGGCACTCAGCAGTATATAAAAAATTATCTCCACTTTTACCAGCTGCAACATGAACGTGATGAACACATGAATGCATAAATAATTATGATCCAATAAGTACTTTTATTTTGGTACTTTAAGTATATTTTGATTCTTACACTTAATAACTTTTACTTCAGATTTTGAATGCAGTATTTCTACACTGTACCAATGCTACTTTTGGTTAAGTTAAAGATCTGCGTTCCGCTTCCATCGCTGGGTGAAAACTTAAGTTCGTTGTTTTTTCTTGAGTATTCCCATTACTATTTACTATTACTACTTTTTAAAATAAATGCAGTTATGCACAACCCTACAGTATGTAAAATAGATAAAATTAGTTCCACATGGACCAAAAACTATGATAAAATGCTGCTTTAAATGGCTGCATTAGTGATAATAATTCAATATATAATAAGATATAAGCATTAATATCACCCACCGGGGCTTTTTTTCTGAAAGAGTACTTTTGATCCTTCTAAGTAAACTTTGCTGATAATATTTCTGCACTTTAATCTCAGTGAGATTTTGATGGAGGAATTTTTACTTGTAATGGAGTATTTTTACTGTATGGATTTGCTACTTCTACTTCTGACATATTTCTGAGCACCTCCTCCACCTGTGGACTCTGCTCTGTCTGGATTCATCCATAAGGCAGAATAAGTCATGAGTTGGCAGGTCCTCTCCAGGTGGGGGCAAGCTGCTGGAGCTGGCATGTGTAACACATGGCACGGTGCGAGAGCCGCAGCGAGGGGTGGGCACTGGACCCAGCCAGTACAGAAGTGGGGTCAATGGACGCTTACCATGCCCGGCCATTATACCGTAATCCTTCCTCGCTTTTCTGGAAAAACTGAATAGCACTAGAATCACTGACTCAATTTTTGGATCTCATTTTCATGACAAAGCGATTGTTCCCCTTTTGCCTCCACTGTTGCTGTTTATAAACGTGGGGAAGTGGGGATATAAAAGGGACCGGAGAGGGGACAGTGCAACATCGAGACCTCAGGGGAAGCACCACCACCGCCGCCATCACCAAGGCTATCCTACACATTACATCAAGATGGGCAGGGTGAGTTCAGACAGAGTGGGACTGGCACTGACATAGAGTCAGGTAACACTGTGGCATGGAGCTGAAGTATGACTGTGTGGCTTTAGGTTGTGGATACGGCTGCTTATGTGACCCTCTCTGGAGGTGTTACTGGGGTTTGAACCTATTTTAAACTGGTTCACAGGTGAGACGAGTGTTGTTGATGGGACTGGACAGGTGTAGGTGCTGACGGCTTCAGTCAGCTTGAACTTAAAGCTGCACTATCTGCTGTAAAAACACTGCCAAAAGAATGCTTTTCAAGCCTTTATGAAGTCAGAAAAGCTTATTGTAAATTTTGTGTGATTGCTCAGGAAATATCTGACCTCTCTGAGACAAACCACCCAATGTGAAATATAGAAGAGAGCTAAGACTCCCATGTGTCGTCCCCCAGATTGTCTTCTACGAGGACAAGAACTTCCAGGGCCGTCGCTATGAGTGCGACAGTGACTGCTCGGACTTCCACACCTACCTGAGCCGCTGCAACTCCATCCGGGTCGAGAGTGGGGCCTGGGTGGTGTACGAGCGGCCCAACTACATGGGCTACCAGTATGTCCTGACCAGGGGGGAGTACCCAGAGTACCAGCGCTGGATGGGCCTCAACGACCGCCTCAGCTCCTGCAAGATGGTCCACTTTGTAAGTCGCCTGTGATCTGCACTGCTGACCTATTTCACTGAGTGTGTGGAACACTGTGTGCACTAACCTGTACAGATTTGACCTACAGCAGGATTTTCCCTTGGGTGTGAAGCTCTGTGTGGGTTATGAACTTAAGGTGCGTGACTCAGGCTGTTGGAGCGAGCTGATAAAAGCCACAGTGAGCGCAGGAGAGTAGAACAAACTGACAGGCACAGCACAGAGGTCATGGGATGGTGTTGATGCTCCCAGTGACTGCAGGGCTTTGTCGATGGAGACCAATACGTGGCTCAGTCTATTTGTATGATCGGGCTTCGGTCCAGCCGACCCACAGCCTGCAGGCAGAATCAGGGACCTCACTTTCATACAAAAATCAATCTTGTTAGGACGAGCATGTGTGCAGTGTTGTGCTATTTATAAATGCAGCAACAGAAGTCAGTTATCTGACTGATGTGGTGCGTCACACCAGATAACCATGATGAGTCTAATTACACATGCAATGCTACAAACATTTTCCTTTTGTCAGATGCACATCTCATCTCCCTACATATCTCCCCTTCTCCCTTTCTCTTCCCCCACAACCCCTCCCGACTCTACCCCAACCCCCTGCACTAACCACCACTCTCCACCTGCGTCCCCTTTCCACCCTTCTTCCACTTTAACCCTGTCACCACCTCCCCTGCTTCCTCCCGTCCCCTTCCAGACCAGTGGGACCCTGTACAAGATGCAGCTGTATGAGAAGGCCGACTTCGGGGGCCAGGCCTTCGAGGCCACAGAGGACTGCCCCTCTCTACTGGAGAAGTTCCGCTGGAGGGAGGTCAACTCCTGCAAGGTGTTCGACGGCTGGTGGGTTTTCTACGAGCACCCCAACTACCGTGGACGGCAATACTTCCTGGAGAAGGGGGAATACCGCAAGCCTGGCGACTGGGGTGCCGTCAGTCCTGCGGTCCAGTCCTTCAGGCGCTTCACTGAATGATTTCACCTCCATCCAAAATCTAAAAGAAAGCAACCTGCTATGTCGATATTTGACCATGATTTTAATTTATTACATTATTTTGTGATTTTGAACTGAGGTCTCACAAATAAAAGCCTGTCCAATAAGCAGACCAAGGACGTCTCTTTGGATTTTTCTATGCATGAAATGTTTAATGTCTTTTCAACCTGCATACTCACTGTAGACATCCACACATCAGGGCTCAATAATAACAAGTGTCTGGAGACATAAGCTCTATTCAGAATGTCCCAAATAACTTCCATTATATCCTGTTTGAGATGTCTGATAGTTGGTTCACTTTAAGTCACTATTTTGAGCAGCTTAACAGTTTCACAGAAACCCTTAAGGCTGCTTCATCCCAGCACAGGTCTGAGGTCCACAGTCACAGGCTGAGGGTTGAAGTGAGTCCCAAAAGAGAAACAGTTTCCTCCCCCGCCTATTAGGAGCAGCTCTGGTTCCTCGGAGTCCGTCAGCTCAGAGCAGAATGAGTGCAGCATCAGAGGCCAGGGCACAGAGGTCTAGAGATGACAGAAGACCCACACACAGGGAGTTATCACCCAGCGTCTTGTCTATTTGACCTTTGTACAGTTTGATGATGATGCGCATGCAGTTTGGCAACAGAAGTATAGCAGAGTGCAGCAACTTGTCAAGCTATGCAGAGCATTAACCATCAAAGACTGCTAATGCTACATAAACAATTTAGCTGATAGTGGGTTGAAGACATTAGCAAGTAGCCCAATACTCAGAGTGGTCAGATATGTACATGTATTCGGTGGAGCAATGTCGGGTTAGCATGTACGTCAGCGAGAAATTATGACCATACGAGTCACTAAATGCTACTGACTAGTTTATATATGGTTATGTGCAGAATGTCAAATGCCATGACAGACTCAGAATTTGTGTCTTAAAGTCAAAGATAAGGACACAAGACGACTCTGTATGAAGCTTGTGCTGTAATTAACAAACCTAAAAAACATTAACGTGATGTCCTGACAGAAGTCTGTACCTGCATTTTGTGTTGTTGGTGTGCTAGCGAGCATAGTTCAGAGCTCAATGATAGTTGTTATCCAAGCATGAATTCTGCTTGTTTCACTGTAGCTTGAGAACTCTTGATCCTGTCCTCAGTCCAGTGGTAGTCAACATTTTAAGGCTCGCAGTCAGAGATGTCGCCAGTGTTTCGGTTTAACAAGTGACTATGTAAACTGGTTTTAGTCGAATGTGTCGTGGTTGCTGGTATCGAAGGCAACATGTGAACATGTAGGCGTCCTTGTAAAAGCCTCCAATTTAACTTAAATCAATTCTAATTACATAGTACTCATATAAGTTTATTATCTGTGCCAAGTTACAATGAGCAACTACAAACGCATCCGGCTGAAAGTCACCAGCTGACATGGTCACTCCTTAAACCAAAACACCTTTTGCTCTGAAACAGTTGTGATCATAGTTGGAAATTAGCACCAGTCACCAGCAGAAAGTTGGTAAAACATGTGAATGGCTGCTAAATTTGCTTCTCTCATCAGCCAAAACAATAATAATAATCTATTCAGTGGCTGAAAGATTTTGGAATCCACCAGCCACAGTGGCAGATGAACACAAGTTAATGTCCGACCCCGTAGAACCTGAGTCTGCTGCTGGAATCTCAGTTCTGACAACTGAACAAGCACCAACCGGACATTTATTCAATAATGTCGGTTATAAAAGGGTCTATAGATCCATCCTAAGGCAACATGATCAATAAAAATGCATTGATAAAAATGTACTTTGTGTAGCACTTGATGCCACTTTTTGGGCAATAACCCCAGATGTTTAGCACCTGTGGTAAAAGCCACTGAATATCAGTATTAGCCACTGTCGTAATATCGGTCTCTTAGAAATACATATGAACTGACCGTGTCCAGACTGAATTCCACACTGCTGCGTGTGGTGAGGTTGATCATGACGACACCAGGTACACCATCTGAATGCAGCCACACTCCACCAACCACAACCAGCTTTTCACCAATCACATGGGCAGAATGGGAGTACCTGAAACACAGCAAACAGCAGGTGGTTTCCTTAAATAGAAACTTCAGGACACGGTCTTAAGAGTTTGGATTTGATGAAGTGAATGATGGGGAGGGTTAGAGAAACATCAGACCTGGGAACAGGAGGAGGCTGCACCTCTATCCTCTCCCAGGAGAAGCCTCGGTCAGTTGGCCTTAACACTGCTGTGTCTCCCAGTGGCACTCCTCTTCGGTCTAGTCCTCCAAACACCACCACACCTCCCTGATAGGAACATGTTGAGTGGGAATGACGAGCCTCTGGTGCTGCTCCCTCTACTGGGACCTGCAAATAATACACACACACACACACACTCTTAGCTCTTTTCCTCCAACATGGAACAGGTTCAGTACCAGTTCCCCCACTTAATGTTGAACCGTTTGGGGCATTTCGTCAAAAAATAATTTTGTTCAGAATCAACAAATGTGATTCTCACTGGAAACCAAAAAATAGCAGGTTTTTCCTCAAAGGTTTTGAAAAGACACTGACCTCAGTCCAGTGCTGCTTGTTTAGACACAGGAAGTATCCGTCACCCAGAACTGCCTCTGATTCGTTCTTTCCGCCAAACACAAACAGAAAGTCTTTGCCTATAGACAAAATGAGAAAGCTTTATTGTGTAGGCTGAAAATAAATGAGTGAGAGACAGAAATCACACAAAACTTCCTGTTTTATATCTCACCTTTGCAACTGACCGCAGTAGCAGTGTGCCTCCATCTTGGCGGCGGTGGATCTCCCGTACAGACCACCTGCTCTACATTAAGTTTCACCGTTTCTCTGTCCTCTGAGTCGGGAGGATCAGGTGGACCACCGGGGTCCAGCATGACTCTGAAAAGGCCTCTGGTTGGGTTGAGTGGGGAGGAGCGACCACCGTATACCACGATACCTCCTCCAGGAAGAGAGGTAGCTGTGTGGTAGAGTCGCACACCTGGGAGAAGGAAACACAACAACCATCTGTTCACACTGAAAGTAAAATCAGTCTCACCTTACTTTTGATAACACAGCTAGAGAGATAATTTGTTATGCTAACACCAACTAGCTTTTCTGAACAAATAATTTTGAGCAGATGCTTTGTTCAGTGCTACAGGAAATAACACAGTATTAATTCTTATAGACGTCTTGGCTGCCTTCGACTCTATTGATCACTTAGTCCTCTTGGACCGTCTTCAGCATGTTGTGTGCATTCAGGGACTGACCCTACAGTGGTTTGCCTCCTACGTACAAAACCAAGCTGCCTCTGTTTCAGTTGACAATGTGTCCTCTTCCTCTGTACCCATTTCCTGTGGTGTACCACAAGGCTCCATATTAGGCCCCATTTTATTTTACTTGTATATGCTTCCTTTGGGGTCTATTTTTAGAAAGTGACGACACTCAGCTTTACCTCTTGCTCAAACCTTGTGATCTATGCAGTGTCAACTTCCTCCTGTCCCGCTTGCAGCTTGTTAAAAATGCAGCTCCTCATTGGTACCAGGAAAAGAGACCATATCACCCCAGAGCTGGCCTCTCTTCACAGAATTGATTTCAAAACTCTTTTATTTGTTTTCTAAAGTGCCTGCTTATATTTTTGAACTGCTCCTCTCCTATTCCACCTTCTGACCCCCCAGATCTGGTGGCCAATCACTGCTTTTATTTCTTTGCGAAGCACTTAAGTCAACGTTTGCTGTTTTTAAATGTGTTTTATAAATAAATCTGACAACTACAAGCCTGCTATACTGGGATTTGGAGAGAAATTTCCAGGCACTCTGAGTTCTGCGTGAGTGTTAAATTGCTGATTCCAATGTAGTGTAGGAGCAAAAACACCTACTGATAGAGAACCAAAAAAATCAGAAGCAGCTCTCTCACCTAAATCTACTGATGGTTCAACACCAACAGATCTCCAGCCTTCCTGGCCCCTCAGGAGGATCCAGCTCACTGGCCCCCTGCCTCCTCTACTTGAGCCTCCTGTTAGCAGGACCTGCCCCGGGCTCACCAAGGTGGACGCCATCCCCAGCCCCTCCATACAAACTGGTACGGTCTGCACACTCAGGGCTGTGGAGCTCCAAGATGGGCAGAAGGATGACACTGGAGATACTGAGCCAAACAACAAAACATTGTTAGTTGAAAGTAGGAACTGTGGGTTTCTATAAGAGGGAAATAAAGTGATAGCTACCTGGAACAGGCTCGAGTAAAACCTGTGCCATCAAAGAGCCTTGAGATGCAGTGAGGATGAAGTAGTGGGAACATTTCTGGTGCCACTCCTGAATGTTGACAAGATGTCACCAGGTTTAATATTATTACGAGGAGGTTTGATTTTATAAAACAGAGACAAGCATGAAGCCACAAAATAAGAAGACATTTGAACAGCTAACCTCATATTCATCAAAAGGCTCCAGGCTCTCCACTCTGCGTCTCTCCTCCTCAGATACCAGCCCGAGGTAGAAGTCATTCATATCCAGACACACACACTGCTCCCAGCCCTGAAGACGAAAACACCATGATACTATCTGATTAAACACTTGTCAGCACAGAGCAAATAGCAACAGTAACAAGACATAGTTTAAAGAATGTACTGGCCTTGCCCAGGAAGCGGCGCCTCTGAGCAGCAGTGTCTGGGTAAAGTTGAAGGGCGTGCAAAGTTGAGTTCAGCTTCAAGAAATGATCCTGCATGATCCGACCGAAGGGATCGTGTGGATGTATCTGCTCATACATCACAAAGAGTGACTGTGGCAGGTGCTTTGACGCCCAGCGAATAACAGCATCTGACCTGGAAGACACAACATGAAACAGACTAGAATTACTGTCTCGCGGTTGTGTGCCTCCGCAAACCAGTCAAGCTGCAGTTATAGTTTACATCCATGTCTGTCCACTCATATGGAGCCATGACTGTTGACAATACTTCAAATGGAGTAATGCCAGAAATGTGTTTTTGCAGAACACCGAGATGCCACGCTGAAGTTGACTTTTGA